TTCACCATTATAGTGATTAGCGTTCCCTTTGGTTGGGCACTTGGAACTTCATTTATGTTACTATCATTTTTTTCCCATTAATGCAGCAATACATCACGAAGTCAGAGTTATTTGATCATAAAGGAAGAAAAGTAATAAATAGGTTGCTTTTAGTAGGTGACGTATCTTTTAATTAAATCGTTAGCGTATATCTGTGTGTTTACTTATTAACTTTTTCAAATTTCAGTTTTCATAAATACCTTGAGATGCTTTTAATTGGGTTTATATAATTCTTAAATAGTGTGTGTTAATATGCTAAAGTCACACACAGACTTAAACATTCAGCACGTGAATCACAACAATGGTAACAATTCAATTTCATTTATTTTCATTAATTGTAACAATAACCATTTTATTTGCTCTTTTTGTTGTGCTACTACTGACACAAGACAGCAAATAAAATTGGCAAATAAAATCAACAACTGTAAAACAAAGCAACTGCATAATTTATTCATGCCACAATGCACTCTGGGAGTCAGTGAGTAGCTATACTAAGTCATGAGTAAACCTAAATGAAAGGATCAAGTACCCCCTACAGTTCTTTTTTAGTTACCAGAACTCTCGTGTAAGTAAACTATACTAACTAAGCATTTGTCAATACAACATACTATTCCTATTTCACTTTACTTATTTTTTTCAAGGCAATCGGTTTGCATGCTTTTTTTAAGTAAGCCCAACTAATTAGATTTTACAGTGTAAGTATATGCAACATGTGTAACAAGAACACATGCATATAAGATATAGATGTAAGTTCCAAGAAGAGAAAAGCTATTTAAAAAAATTAAAGTGTAAATGACACAACTCTAATTTTGATTTAACTGGTCATTAAGGGCGAATACTGCAGTCATATTGTATTTTACTCTAAAATCAAAAGAAAACAATAAGAAATTAAATATTATATAAAACAGATATTTTACTGGTATATGCAACATATTTATTTATTTATTTGATGACATTATTGGCATGACAAATAAGCATATTCACCACCAACTTCTCTCACTGTAATGTGAAAAAAAAATTATTACTGTAATACAGTGATCAAAACCTCCTTAATGGACAGAATGATGTTTTGATTAAAATCAGCATAATTCAAATTAAATACAAATTCAGTACAAATACAATTAAACTAGGTTTTTTTATTACAATAATAAGCATGATCTTTTGCACACTACAGAATTGGCAATGAATATGATATTAGATGAAATGTTCATTTTTAATAAAACCAACACCATTTCCACATGCAATGTAACATGATCAATAATTCGAGGAAATCAAGCACCCTGACCAATCACAGGCTCTCTCGCCGTTTTCATTTCTGGAACAACTGTTTAGCATGCAGCGTGTTAAATCAGTTCTATTCTCTCTCCTCTGAATTGCATCAGACCTGCTAGTTGAAATCTCTTTGTGTAATATATTATGTCTGCCAATAGATCTTGGATAAGGGGCTCCCAAACAATCACCTTCCAATTACCTCCCCTCATTGATTAGAGCATTAGCCCGCCGTGGCACACACATACACACACACACTCTGTGAATACATTAGCCCAAACTGAGTGAGATGTAAAGGTCAGACAAAATGAGAGAGAGCGAGTGACAGAGAGAAAGGGAGAGCGGGAGATGAGGTGGAGAATGATAAATGATGTGTGATTCCAGCCACAGCTTCTATAAAAAGCAGCGGAGCAGGACCGAGAGAGAAAAAAGGCGAAATCTTTCTCTTGTCTTCCGTTTCATGGAACGTTTCCTAATTCCTCTATGGGAATTATACACTGTTACATTCTGAGCGTGCCTTGCACATTAGCAGTTCAGAGTTATAGAAACTGAAAGATCTATCTCTTGTGTGTTGATAAAAGTGGGCTGCCGGCATCTAAACATCTAAATCAAGTCTCACAAGATAATGTGAGCATGTGTTACAGGTATATTTGTGTGTGTGTATGAAAGAGAACTCATAAACGGTAATTTCCTCCACATTGACTCTGGGCATGGTCTATGGCCTTGCTAATTGGATCTTACAGTCTGGTCTACCCTGAGGCAGTGTGTATGTGTGTGTGTGTGTGTGTGTGTGTGGCAGCTGGCAGGTGGTATAACAGGCAACCTCAGGGCAGGATATGGTGCTCTCTCCCTTACACATTTCCACTGATTACACACACACAAACACACACTGGGAGTCATTCTGAATGAACAAAAAACTGTATAATCAAATCTGTCCGGCTCAAAATTAAAAACATACAGTAGAAGCCGCCACTTTTATGAATCTTTTATGAGGGCAAGGCATGCCGTTACGCAGCATGACACATCCGTTCATAGTTTGTGATTATTCTCATGCGTAGCCCATTCCCTACATCCCCACATCTTTCTTCTTGTGCCATGGGTTGCCAGGTTGTCGTCCCCAGTCAAAGTCAAGGTCGGACAGATAGCAGGCTGTGCTCTCGACATTAGCCGGAACTGAAATGATAATGTTTCTTGTGATGACGCAGATGCTAATGGGGTTTTGTTCTGCGTGGGTTCTGTTTTTCTCTGTAGCTCGGCTTCGTCTGTGCAGTTTGGAGGCAAAGAATTCATTTGTCCTGCCAGACAACATTGAAAAATGCAAACAGGGTGGCTAATATGTTTGAAGGCTGATGTTTGGGGCGTTATGTAATGTGGACAATCTCAAATGAGTACATCTGATTAATTCCGTGTGCTGTGTAAAAAAAAAAGCGCTGCACAAACATACGCTTGCATTGTTCTCTGCATGGCGAACACCTGCTTTTGAAGCACAATGTCTTTTTCCTGTTTTTTTATTACGCTCTTATGTGCTAATTATGCCTACAAATCAAAGTGTTGACAGTTTCGCTCTCCACAATGAGCTCAGCTGAAACCTAACACACAGCCCACGTACACACTGCAAAGTTTTAGGAGTGACAACCACATTTAAATGCGGGAATAAATACCCTAAATTATTATTCCATGTGTGTATGGAATGCAGGATTCACTTCAAGTTGCAACAGTTGACACAGTGATAACTCAATAGCAGCATTACTGCATTACCAACTAGCTGCTCAGTTTGGGTTTGTACATACTATTCAGATTTGATAGCAGTGAATTTAAATGTAGAATGTGGTTTGTCATTCACGGTCATTTTGGAAAGGTTAATTGTAAAGTAAATTTGAGCAAATTTTAAGCATTAAAGGCACATCTTTAAGTGCTACTATATAAAATGCTAAATGAAAATAATACTTTATTTTAAATAAAGTAATACATAAATTTTAATATAT